CGGCGCCCCCTTCCTGCGCCCTGTGCCCATCCGGGCCGGGCCCCCACGCCCCGCGCGGGCCGACGCCCCTCTCGCTGGACCCTGCGATCGACTGGAGTGTCCCCCTCGGCCACCTTGCCCAAGTCCTTTCCCACTCTCCTCCCGCACCCCGGGACCCCCGGCTGGCCGCCGCCCCCGGGTACCCGCGTCCTCCGCCGCCGCCGCCGCCTGCTCCCAGGTGGGACTTGTGGGGAGGTGGCTGCCGGTGAAGGCGAGCACTTCGGGGTGAGCGGGGCGCGCTCGGAAACGCCGGGCGCGTCCGCTCCCTGCTGCAGGAGGAGCGGCCGGAGCCGGAGGAGGCGAGCGCAGCCACGATCCGGATTCTCAGTCCCCGGCGGCGGCCCCGAGGTTGCACAGAGCGCCCGGAGGCGGTGGGCGAGCGAGGGGGCGTCCCGGGTGTGCGCGCGGGGGCCCCCAGGTGCAGAGGCGCGGCGTGGAGACGCATCTCCCCGGCGGTGGCTTCGCTGGCGTGCAGGAACGCTGAACGCGAGTTGGGCTGGAGAAGGAAGGGCCTCTTGTCATTTCTGTGCGGGTCTGGCTTGCTTTTGTCATTCTTTGTTTACATTCGTGGAACTTGTTTGCCTGAAATGTAACATGTGTTCTGCTCACCGGCCTGCCCGTGGTTCTGGTGATTGGAGAGGCTTGAGAACAGTTTGGATCGAAAGGTGGGGAGGGTTGGAGCAATCCTGCGGACCTGCCCTCCTGGGTACTTTCTCTCCAACTCGGAGATTCTGGGAGGCTCTTCAAGTTGCCAGGATGTTGAACAAACCTGTCTTTTCTCCCAAACGCTGGAGTTCAGTGAAATGACTAATGTGTCCAAATTTGCAAAAAGGTGGAGGAGGAAAGGGAAGGCTGCTGTAGCAAGCATGACGAGGTTGCATTTTCCAAGCACTTCTGACTAATAGACCGTCCTATTTCTTCGCCCCACTGTGCGGTCTTTGGCTTCGGTATGCCTTTCAGGTGTTTTGCAATCATATTTCAACTTTGATGGCTTCATCGCTTTTATGGATAGTAACAAATTTATTTCATAGAAGACAACATGGTATTAAAATTATTTAATCTAATCACTCCTGTGGCGTTATTTCATGCTTACTGTTGGTTATGTGTAATATATATGTATGCCCTAATTACACTCACAGATTTGATAACATTCACACGACAGAAAAATTTGATTCTCTGATTGCTTTCACGTGATTTTTTTTTTTTTTTCATGGTTTGGTTTGCTTCAGTGGCTTCTTTGGGAGAGATATTAATGATTAAATCCAAAGCACTTGTCAGTTAAAGTAATATGTAGCACACAGAAAGATACTGTTGTTCACCTCAACCATTCACAAGTTTATTACTTGAAACTTCATTTTAAGGGCATGGAAACACACCCATGGAAGTATTCATTGTCAGATTTCTTTTCCACTAATTAAGTACTTAGAAGCTCTTCCTTTTCTGCATTGGCACTTTCTAGATGGATTCATTTGTAGCTGAGAAAGGGTATCCGTAATAGACGCTGTATAGCTTAAAGAGGCAGATGTTACCTGTTATGCCCAATTTTGGGCTTTTGCTAGAATTAATAGGTATTTTCCTTGGAGGTAGGAAAATTACCCTTTGCTTTTTTTAAGTACCAGAGCATAGCTCCTCTCCACCCTGATCATGAAAGGGTATATATAGATCATGTCAAATACTATAATGTCTACTATTGGTATTGGCACTTTTGAGGTGAATTTAAATTTGAGTTAAATTCCCAAATTTAAATTTGAGTTAAATTCCCAAAATGATATATCTACATTTAGTTTTATGACCAGTCCACTGTTTTTTAGGTAGAAACCTACTTAAAGGAAAATAACTAATCATGAAAATGAATCAGTAAAATGGATTGAAACTTATTTTGCTCTCCCATTAAAGTAACACTAATTGCACTTATGTGTTTTTTAGATTTGCCTACTGGCTGGGAAGAAGCATACACTTTTGAAGGTGCAAGATACTATATAAAGTGAGTTTTTAAAATTTTTTCCTTTGATAATTCAAATGCTGTGAATACTCTTTGGTTGAATGGTTTTATGTCCAGACACGGCCATGTTTTTTGAAGGTTTCTCATATATAATGTTGACTTTACTTTATGTAGCATTAGAATTCTGAGAGAAAAAAATGTCGTCCTTAGTTTTCTTAGCTTATTTGCCTGTGTATTTATTGGTTCATTGATTTTAACATTAGATCATGTATGACCACAGTTAATTTTGGTGCTTCTTTACATATTCCTGGGTAGAGCATTACAGTTTTTTGTCTTTACCTATGTGACAAAATTTTGGTCTGTAAATTGTTTTACTGACAGAAAAATACATGAAAATCTCTGAATTATGTTACCCTCCTTTTTAAAAGTGAATTCTGTTAATGTGTATTTTGACCAGAGCCATTAATAAGTAGCAAAAATGATGTAAAGCTATGTACAGTCTGATAAACAGTGACAAAGCTGAAAGTAAAAACAAACAGCAGTACGTGGTGAATATCACAATCATTTGTTGGAACAGTTTGTAGTTTTACTTCTGTATATCTAAGTGATTGTCTTGCACTGTTGCACTTGTGTTTGAGTACAAGGTTTTCAGTGGAACTTAAGAAGAAAGATGAATACTCTCCTATCCTTAAAACCAGCTCTATTGAATATTGAACTAATTTCAATTCCAGGGTAACTCGCCAGTGCTGGAGGTCAGCATTATACAGGAACAGATTTAATCTCCCTAGGGAAAATACAGATGGTTTTGTCTTTGGTTTAAATTAGAAACTCTTAAGAGCTTTGTTTTTGTTGCTTAACATTGTTTGGTATCATTTTAAGGAGCTAAGTCATGAAAGAGAATGTTGAAATACCAGATTTAGTGGAGATTTGGGTAGTTTATTAATAATAACAGATACCTAGTTGAAAATTCATCTGTTTCAATGGACCTACTAAGTTATTTTTACCAAGTGACATTTTTAAAAGCATGCCATAGTTCTACTAAATTATAATTACTTGTGTGATTCTTTAAGCTTTTTTAGAAAGAATATTTATATAAAATGTCAAAGTATATTTATAGGTATTAGGAATGGTTGCTTTGGGATGTAGCACTAGAGAACGCAGAAGTGAGAGACAGGAGTGGAGTGTTGTCTTGGTGTTGATCCCTCTCTGGATTTTTGTTGTTAAATTTCCTGTTTGGAGATTGGTCCAAACCCCAAAAAACAAAGTAAAGCGTAGCCATCAAGTATTTTTCTAGTGATTGTTTTCATCTTGAGTTAAAATGAGTTTGTGTCTTCATGAAAAGGGATGTTTTCCCTTTTGTACGTAATATGTTCTAAAGAAAGACTTTTTGGGGCTGGGGATTTAGCTCAGCGGCAAAGCACCTGCCTAGCAAGCGCAAGGTCGTAAGTTCGGTTCCGGGACCGGAGAAAAACCAAAAAAAAAAAAAAAAAAGAAAGACTTTTTAAAATTCTCCTTATTCAATGAAATTTGAACTACTGCACATTAATCCTAGCTGATCTTACAAGAATAGGTAGCACTTCAGTTCTTTGTTTTAACTTCTGTGGATGTGTACATTGTTGGGTGCTTGTTTTTTTAGCAGCACAAAATGTTACTTTGTGTAGGCTGACTATGTATATTTTAATTAGAACTCAGCTGTTTGAAAGGCTGTTTTTTGTTTTACGAGCCATTTTGATTGGATTTTCTTTCTATTTTAACTACAAATTAGAATCTTATTTTAGTGCCATGATTAAGTAAGTTGCTCAGGGAAATTAGGACAATATTAAGAAAGCTGTAATAATTTTACTCTAAAATATTTTTCAACTAGTGGGTTTTAATCATGTGGGATTAATGGCTAATGATGATGTCCAAAAGTAGTAATGCAGTTATACTATGGAAGTAATTCTCTGTAATATTGAGTGTATCATAGAAATAGCACTCATTAAACTTTTTTAAAGTAGCCTAACCATTTAAAAATTCAGGGTTTAGCCAGGCATGCTGGAACACTACTGTAATCCCGGCACTTGGTAGGATTGCCATGAGTTTAAGGCCAACCTGGGCTACATAGTGAGTTCAAGGCCAGCCTGAACTGTATAGCGAGATCCAGTCTCAACAAAGCAAATTAAAAATTAATAAAAATACAGGATTTTCTGTATGTTAAGTGCTACTGTTTTACCCTTCTGGGTTGTGTCATAAGGATAGTTTCTTTAAAGATTAGTTAAATCCCTAATGCAGGCTATCACTTCCTAGAAACTTTACACTTGTATTATAATTAGGGATGCTTTCTCATTCTACTATGAAGGGGCCTTACTTTTATCTTAAAACCTTATAAAATGTTTGCCCATGTATTATCAAGTCTGGATCTCATTTTAATTATAGAAGTAATCAAAAGAATTGTTGCTTCCATTGTCCCACCGCATAATAAAACAACAGAAACACGCCTTTGGAATTTACATTCTGCAAAGACAGCACAATGAGAGACAGCAGGAACATGAATTATATTTAGAATATTCAGCAAAGAAGAAAAGACAGTCCGAACTAAGTAAGTGATTAATGTTGGACTTTTTCATTTGTTGTTTCTCTCCTACATGAAGAAAGGAGGTTGTTGATCACCTTATAAGAAAAGGTGATAGAGTAAGCAGGGAGTGGACTTTTCAGGCTTTGCTCATGTGGAAATACAGAAAGGCCAATAAAAGATACTTTGGCTGTATGGCTCATGATGTGTTTTCTGGAAGGCTCCCAAAGTAATGAAGAACTTCAGGTGTCTCTGCTTTGATTCTCAAGTGTGAAGTACCTGAACTCTCAGATTATTCCTTTCCTGAAAAAATGTGCAGTGCCACGTTCAATTTATATTTAGAGAATATTTTAATATTGATGATTGCATCTTTGTGGGTCCTCAGGGAAAGCAAACATTCTAATGGGGGAGTCATAAAAGCTGGACTGTGTTCTTACAGCTTTGGAACTCAGTCTTCACATCTTTATAGTAGGCTAGTTGTTTTCTTTTTTTTTGTCTTTTTAAGACAGGGTGTCGCTATGCAGTTCAGCCTGACCTTCAGCTCACTTTGTAGCCCAGGCTGGTCTCAAACTCACAGCAATCCTCCTGCCTCAGCCTCCCGAGTGCTGGGATTACAGGTGTGTACCACCACACCTGGCTGTGGGCTAGTTGTAAAATCAACCCCTAAATACCACCCCATTTGTAGCTTTGTTTGAATTATATTCTGTTCTCAGAATTTATAGTATTCTAGAAGATAATGAATTCACAGTGTCAAGAAGCAGTGATGTGGGAAATATGGAAATCTATTTAGCTTTTTTTTTTTTGTCTTTTTGAGACAGGGTCTCACTATGTAGTTCAGGCTGGCCTTGAGCTCACTTTGTAGCCCAGGCTGGCCTCGAACTCGCAAGGATCCTCCTGCCTCAACCTCCTGAGTGCTGGGATTACAGGTGTGGGCCACCACACCCGGCTACTTAGCTTTCTTGTCCAGCTTAACTATTTTATACTTTTTCTTTAAGCTTTGTATAGATAGCCATAGAGAAGTGAAGTGTGCATTGCCAGTGTTGTGTGCATTTTTTCTGGTGCTGCCTTTTGTGCTTAACATTTCCTGGTAAAGCGTTTGTACGGCATCTTCCCGCAGAGCTTTATGGAAACCAATAGTAGTTTTCATGTCAACAAAGGACCTGGTTAGAGTAAGTGTTGTATAGAGTTGAGTAGGATAATCAGTTTACTTTACACACTTAAAAATTGGTTCTGTAATACAAGTCTACATCTAGGTAACAAGAGAATAATATAGAAAATGGATTTTACTTTGCATCCACTGGCCCAAACAATGGTAATACATGAAAATCTTAAAGACACATGTTAATTATGAGACTTGAAGTTTTTGTGAAAAAAAAAAAAAAAAAAACTAATTTTCACACATCTTAAACTAACTTACCTCTAAATTATTTTTGTGTTGTATGTGTAAATACATACACACAGTTTGAATTTGATTGCTGGGTTTCCATACTGCAATTTAAAACAATTCATGTTCTTTATGTTCAAGAATAATAATGAAAATTGTTATCAGTAAATTTTGTAACTTACAAAGTACAGCTTTAAATACTTCATTTTCTATTTTTCATTTGTTTATTTTTTATAATTTTTCTTTTTTTTGGTCTGTTCTTTTTAAAATATTCCATTCTCTTACTAGGCATCAGACAGTAGCCCATAAAGTATAGAAGATAGTCTTAATGTATTTGAAAATTATAAAGCCATCTACAAACACCTTGAAAATGGTGCTTAATGACTCTAATGACAGGTCAGTGTAGTTTAAAATGGATGTGTCACTGGCTGTTCCTCTGTGCTTCAGAGCTTTATGCTGGTTAATCTTAAGTGCCAAGCAGACCTTAAAACAATGGTCTGACGAGTGAGAAACTTTGTACTGATTATTTAATGGTCATTGTTTTATGTGGCAGGGCTGAGACCCAAAATAATATTTGCGTAGTAGTAAAATAGCATGCAGATTTTGTAAGATATTTTTATAGGGTCTTTTTCCTAAATTTTAATTTCTGAAAATTGAATTATTTCTTGGATATACAAATAAAACAGTATTGGATTTTGGGCTAAGGAGGTTTTATTTGAGTGTCTTCAGTAGTTGGAGTCTAATGTGTGCTGAGAATTCCAGAATATCTACAGTGAAGGGATTTCTGGTATGAAATAGACATTTAAGGTGGCAAGAGATGAAAAAAGGTATGTTCGTTCCTAGATTATCAGTTCTAAATAATGTGAATGACTATGGGAAACCAACACATAGCTACTAGAAGAACATTAGAATACATTGACTGTTTGGTATTTAAAATTGTTTTGTGGCTTGGTATTACAATCATGATAACAGATTTTGATTACTAGAGCAATATAATGTTTAAGAACAATTTGTGGACCTTCATTCAGTTTCTTTTTCACGTTCAGGTCTCGACCTTCTAGGAGTTGGTAATATACAGAAAAACATATAGTGTATTGAAAAAGAGCA